ATAGAAAACCCCTACATAGTTAAAAGAATGCAGTCAATTGACTTGAATATATAGTTGGTCTTTCTCATCCTTAGGTTTGGATCACAAATGCCTGTAATGTAACAGGACCTGTGTAGACAATTTTCTTGTCACCATTCCCTAAACAATTCACTAGAGCAACTGTTTACCTGATATTTAAATCATATTAGCTGCTATAAGTAATCTAAAAGGGATGGAGCTAAAATCTAAAATCTAAACAATCTGAAAGGGCTGGGCAAGCTAAAGAGATACAGCACTTGCTTAGTATGTACAAGGCTGTTTGGTCCTTAGCATTGCAAACACAAAAAGCAATATAAGATGTTTTAAAATATACAGGAGAATGTGCCTAGATTCTGTGCAAATACCATGCCAGTCTATGATATTATGCTGTTTTATATATGCTTTGAGAGCTACAGATTTTGGTGTCTGTGGAAGGAGAGGCTATCCTGGAACCAGCCTTTCATAGATCACAAAGCATGTTCTTTTTTCAGAGGTTTTTGTGTGTGCGGATATATGCACAGAGATCAGAAAAGTATTTGGGGGGAATTATGTGGCTCACATGTAGTTGGTGTTTGGAAGCTTTGTGTTACGTGGAAGAAAGAAAATTGCTATTCAGAAAATAGATATAGCCGGGCGATGGTGGCGCACGCCTTTAATCCCAGCACTCGGGAGGCAGAGGCAGGCGGATCTCTGTGAGTTCGAGACCAGCCTGGTCTACAGAGCTAGTTCCAGGACAGGCTCCAAAGCCACAGAGAAACCCTGTCTCGAAAAACCAAAAAAAAAAAAAAAAATAGATATAAAGGGAGAGGAAATGGCTGATTCATTATCGTTAACCTTGTGCATAAGTCTTTGTACGTAGAACCAAGTTAAAATTTGCAGGATAATTATCATGAAAGAGAATTAGAAGAACTCTTCTTGGATATAATTAAGCCTGAGCTAAATGTAAACTCTGTGTAGTTTGAAGTCACCCAAGAGTAACTTAAATTGAACATGACAATTTTTCAAAATATTATTTTCTTATGCGAGGCCTTCAGACTGTGATCATTTTTCAAATAGCATGTCTTTTCATTACGCTCCCCACCAGGTCTTTTGTGTTTTCAATGCCTTTGCTTTCCCGTGAGACACCAGCCGTCTTGTGGCTAGGTGGTGCCATCGCTGCAGCTGCCAAGCCACGGTGGCGCTGCCTCTTTATACTCAGCCACCAGGCACGGGGCACCTCGCTTCACCGAGCACTTTCAACTGCTTCAAAGCCTGTTACACCTTTCATGCTTACAGCTCTGTGAAGTAGCGAGCATGGCTTTATCTCACCATCTTCTACAGAAGAGAACAGCGAGCCCCTGCGAGGTTAAATGCTGCATTAAATGGCCACTCAGTGTTTCCCCTGTCAGCCCACACTGCTTTCTGTGCCGGAGTGAAGTTATGTGGGCACATGAGTTCTGGCACAAAAACGGAGCGAGACACTGTGGGCTGTGATACACCTGTGTGACGATTCACTCTGTGATGTGTGCAGGGGACTGCGGGAGCTCTAATGTGTTCAGAGAAAGCTTGTGTGTGAGTCTGTGGATTTTATCCCTGTCCTTTGAATCCTAGGGATGAGAGGGTTTTCATAATGCATTCTCACCATCGCACTAAGAGCTGTGCATATTTCAAATGAAGCAATGAGTTCTTCACTTATCTTTGTGCTAATTGCTTTCTTGATATTTTTGAGAAAGAGACTGTGTGTGCAATGTTTGCACGTGTGTGCAAGCATGCATGTGTATGTGCATGTGTGTGCATCTGTGCATGTATGTAGGACCACCTGAGGCGACATCCTCAGGAGGGTTGTCCACCTCCTTTGAGACAGGATTCCTCACTTGGCATTGAGTTCATTACTTATACTAGATTGGCAGCTCATTAAGAACCAGGGTCTCTGCCTTCCTGGTTCTGAGATTACCACCATGCTGAGCATTTTTATGTGGAGTCTGAATATTAAACTAAGGTCCCTATGCTTCACTAATGAAGCTATCCCTGCAGCCCTTCTGTGTAGGCAGAGACTGCTCATTTGTTTTTTAGCTGCCCAGACCTAAATAATAACACAGAAGCTGTATTAATTACAACACTGTTTGGCTAATAGCTTAGGCATATTTCTAGCTAACTCTTACATCTTAAATTAACCCACTTCTATTAATCTGTGTATCACCACAAGACTGTGGCCTACCAGTAAGGTTCTGGCTAGCATATGGCATTGTTCTCCTTCAGTAACTATATGGTATCTCTCTGACTCCACCTACTTTCTCTCTATATCTCTGTTTGGATTTCCTGCCTGGTTTTGCTCTACTAAGCCATTGGCTGAAACAGCTTCTTTAATAACCAATGGTAAAAAAATATATTCATAGTATACAGAGGGGAATCCCACATCATCTTTCCTCTTCTGTCTAAATAAAAAGGATGGATTTAACTTTAATATAGTAAAATTACAAATAACAAAACAGGTATCAAGCAAGAATTACAGTTACAATATTTATATCTATTTTATCTTTTACCATAACTAAGGAAAACTATAATTATAACTATCTATTCTTCAACTCCATCAAAGACCCCAGAAAGATATAACATGACCTAAGTTAACAGGAAGTGCATTGTAAGCAACTCCCAAAACTCTAGAATTGACAAGATATTTTACTGCCTGGACAAGTCACCAAAAGTTCTTCTGTAGCATTGGGGCATCCATTTTTTAATCTACAGGCCCATAGTATCAGACTTTTCCCTGCAGCAGGAAATTTGAAAGACTGTTTCGCCTCTATGGGCAGTGTGCCAGTCACTTTCTTCTGAGTCCTGCAGAATGTCTGGGAGACTCTTTCATGAAGCAGGAACTCTGAAGGACTGTCTTACCTTTAGGCAAGTTCATCAGTCATTTTTCTGTGATTCCTGCATGTCCATTTCATACAGCATAGCAACAAGCAGTCCAGGCAAGAGCTGTTTCTTGCCCAAATGGCTGAAAAACTCCATAAGGAGCTCTTTGAAGCCCATCATCCTCTTGAAGTAGGTTGTCCAGCCAGGAGCAAATGTCTCATTGTTGAGAAAAGTCTAAGTTCTTAAAATATTTAAATGCCGCATTCTTTAAGTCTTTGAAAGGTTTGAAGAATACCTATCCATCTAAAACATATCTCTGTACACCTAGAAAACCTAACTAAATTGACTACAAGCTTGACTATCATAGATGACTATCTATTAACTTGTATTTCCTATTTATACATTACATTACATTTTTAAATGAATTTTAAATACGCAAACACAATACCTTAATCAAGAGCAGAAATATACATATAACAAAATTGACCTTAAATTTGTATGAATCAGTCAAGACCCATACCAATGCAAAGTATTCATTTCTATAGCATATCCCCCTTTAAGTGTAAACAAACATTTATAAACAATTATTTAGGGGATTTGGGTGCTGTTCTCTAGACTACTTTCTTTTGATTGGGGGCACTGTTAATCAGGTCTTTCATGTGGTATCCTGTGTGATAGGTTCATCTCAAACTGCAGTCCTAAGGCTGTTGTGATTGTTGGACCATCTGGGCCATTGCTTCAGGGGGTCTTGTTTGATCAAACCATATTAGCAGGTAAGAAATCCACAGGTTTCTATGCTCTGTAGAAACAAAAACAGAACCTCCTTTCCAAAGCAACATATCTCTTAGACCCAAATTTTGTAGTCGAGATACCTTTAAAACAAATATGTTGGTTTAGCTTAGCAGCCCATACAATGCAAGGTCTCTCTGTACTTAGCTCATTCGCAGTCAAAAAATTCAAAGAAAACACAATAATATACATAATCCAGACTCTCTGTGTATTTTCCATCTTTATGCAGCGTATTTTTCTTTACTCCTTTAATCTATGACTGTCTGTGCTCTGTATTTAAAGACTTTCTTTTATTTTTAAAACTATTTATTTCTTTTTATAACTGTCTGTATACCCTTTTCTTCTTTCTTTCTTTCAACCTACATACATTTTCCAACACACTGTGACCCATTCAGAGGTGTTTTTTCATCTGAATCTGTCTTTAATGCATATTCGTAATAATGTTCTGACTAGGAGTACCTTTTTAAAAAATGCTAAGTGGGTGTGGCTAGGACTAAGGCTGTTTTGCCTTTGCCTCTGCCCAATCCAACATGTAGGAGGTGTGTTTACTGCCAGCTCTATGTGCCATGCTTTCTGTCCCAGCTCCAGGGGTGCAGTGGGTCCATTTCTCCATCTATCAACCTGTAGCATTCTCCTCACAAACCCCATTCAGATGCTCAGCCTCCTAAACAAGTCAGAACTGTTCCTGCAACTAGCGTGAACCAGGAAGCTTTCTTAAAGGAATCATGCCTTTGCTTGCTTCTAGTGAACAGAGCAAATCTGAAAAAAAAATATGGTTACCAAGAAGTCATGCTTACCTCTGTTCTTCTGTGTCTAGAATTCCTTCCCAAGCTCACTCAGGTTTTATGTGGATGTAGTTGTCCCACGTTGGTGTGCCACTGGAGAATGCTTGTTTGTTTCTGAGCCACCCATCCCCAAATAATAACACAGAAACTTTATTAATTATAATGCTGTTTGGCTGATAGTTTAGACATATTTATAGCTAACTCTTACATATTAAATTGACCCATTTATATTAATCTGTATTACCATGAGGCTGTGGCCTACCAGTAAGTTTCTGGCTGGTGGCTGGCATCTTTCTCCTTTGGCAGCTACATGGTGTCTCTCTGACTCTGCTTCCTTTCTCTCTGTATCTCTGTTTGGATTTCCCACTTGGCTTTACTCTACTAAGTCATTGGCCCAAACAGCTTATTCAATAATGGTAATAAAATATATTCATAGCATAGAGAGGGGAATCCCACATCACCTCTGTCTTACCATTTTATTACCATCTGTGAAGTAACATTTAGAAATGAACACTTAGGTTTCTCCCCGAAACTGGCTGTCGTGATCTGCGCCCAGGGAGCCTACAAGGGCACGCCATGCCTTTCTTGGATGTGCAGAAAAAGCCGGGCATTAGCCTCGATCACCACTTTGTATTCCAAAGTGTTGAGCAGCCCTTCAAGATTCCCTCCCAATGCCATGCTTTCGAAAAAGAGTGGATAGAGTGTGCACATGGCATCGGTGCTACCCAGGCTAAAAAAGAGTGCAAGATAGAATTTGAAGATTTCAAGGAATGTTATCTTTGGTATAAAACGATGAAGCGCCTGGGTAAAATCAAAGCTATTTAATTAAAATAAAAGCTAATTAAAGAGGGGAAATACACCCCTCCGCCTCACCACAGGGGCCAGGAGGAACCCAGGCCCTGAGCAGAGCAGGTGGACGCTGCTTTTCATGCTGCTTTCTGCTGGGAGAAAGTCTGATGAAAACTGCTTCATTGAGTACATAAAAATAAAGAATTAGTCAACCTCAAAAAAAAAAAAAGAAATGAACACTTAGGTTTCTTTTATTTTTTTTTAAGGTTCAATATAACTACATCATTTCTCCTTCCCTTTTCTCTCTTAAACCCTCCTAGCTTTCCTTCAAATTCATAGCCTCTTTTTCTCATCAGTTGTTACACACATATTCCTAAATGTATATCATTATTGGTATGTGTATTTTCAAGGTTGTACATTTGGTATTGGATAACCAATTGATGTATCCTCCCTGGAGAAGACTGTTTTTCCCACTCTCTTAATTGACTATAGTTCTTTGTGTAGGGTTGAGGTCTCTTGGGCTTTCCCCCAATCCCATGAGTGTTGAAATAGGTGCGGTGGGGCTACGTCCCCAGCACCCTGGCCGCCTGCTAGCTCATGCCCAAAATAACAACACACAAACTGTATTCATTTAAACACTGCTTGGCCCATTTCTATCTAGCCTCTTCTCAGCTAACTCTCGCACCTGGACTAGCCCATTTCTAGTAATGTGTGTATTCTACCTTCCCTCCATCCTGGGTCGGAGCTGCCTGGGAGAGCAGAGCCTGGCATCTCTGCTCCAGAGAGCAGAGCTGTAGAGTCTACCCGGGAGAGCTGAGCATGGCATCTCTGCTCCAGAGAGCAGAGCTGTTGGGTCTGAGCTCACTTCCTCTTCCTCCCAGCATTCTATTCTGTTTACTCCTCCCACCTATGTTTTAACCTATCAGGGCCAAGGAGTTTCTTTATTGCTTAACCAATGAAATCAACAGATTGATATATGACACTCCCACATCACATGAGCATGTCTATTGTTCCTCTGGCTCTGAAAATCTTTCTGCTCTTTCTTCCACCTGGGCCTTAGGTGCTAGACTTGGGTCATAGATGTATCCATTGGGACTGAGTGCCACAACTGTACATTCTGAATGCTTTTGGTTTTCTGTAATGGTCTCTGTGTGTTGCAAAGACATTTTCCTGATGAAGGGTGAGGACTCCACTTACCTGTGGGTGTGAGAACAAATATTCAGAGTGTAGTTAAGGGTTGTGCTGGTTTAGTAAAGTGGTGGTTGTAGGTTCTCCTCAAAGATCGATGGCTTCCATAGGCCTTACTGAGAGGGTCTTAAGTCCAATTAGAGAGCTATTGGCTATCAATAAGGTATGTGTGCCACTGCTGCACCCTTAGGTTTTTGTGCCATGGCTTTAGTTTTTGCAGAAGGAAAGTAGTAAAGGAAGGTCAGCAGTTGGCCAGAAGAGAGCTGATAAGGACTATTGTGCTGGAATTTAGTATCTAGGTCTACCAAGGTGATTTGGGATGAACTGCTATCATTGACAGCTAAGTAGCTGGATGCCAAGGCAATGTTTTTGTAGCTCATTGTAGCAGAGGTGTTGTAGAAACTGATGTTCTGGGTACCTTTTTGCTGTCTTTGGTTCGAGTACCTTGGATAAATGAACCAAATCACTCTAAAGTTCTTGTCTCTAACTCATAAAATGGGAATAATAATGTTTCTTAGAGCTATTCTGTGTATTAGTTTTCTGTTACAAAGTAACAATCTCAAAACTTGATACAATAGTTCATTTGCTCACAATTTGGACAGAGTTTAGCTGGGTGGTTCCGCCCCACCCCCACCCAGGGAAGACACACCCATGCAGATACAGTTGTCTGCAGATTTTCCTGGGACACTAAGAGACCCAGTTGACCTTAGTTTTGTACACAGCCAGTCGGACCGTCAGAAGAACATCTCAGCTCTCTCTGCTGCTTCAGCATCATGGACTAGCTTTCTCATGTGGTATCTGGGTTATCCTTAATTGTCAAATTGTTACAGCCTAGCATCATCTGAGAGAAGCCTCACTTGAGGTATTGCCTACATCAGGGTGGTCTGTGGGCAAGTCTATCAGGGATTGTCTAGATCTTTCACTGATACAGGAGGAGGGCACAGCCATGGGCATGCGCACTGTGCTCTATAAATAAGATAGATAAATACAAGTTAGCAGGCAGGACTCTTCCAGGGTTTCTGCTTCAGGCTCTTCTTTTGAGTTCCTGCCTCGACAACCCTCAATAACGGATTGTGACCTAGAAATATGAGCTGAAATAAACCCTTTCCTCCTCTAAGTTGTTGTTGGACGTAGTATCTTATCACAGAAAGAGAAAGCAAACTAGAACACAGGGTAAATAGCCATAATGATAGGAAGGGAAGCTCCAGGGTACAGGAGCTGGCCATACTTCTTCTGTCATTTGTTGCCTTGGGAGCCAAAGCAAGTCGCATAGCCAAGGCCAAGGTCAACAAGGAAGGAAATTATATTAGGTAGTGAAAGCTTGGTTTATGGGGGACTGTTAGGATAAACATATGCACAATCTGTCAATCAAGTCTGGTAATGTATGGGAAGTGATTCTTAAAGTATTACATAGATTTTGTGTGCATGTATATGAATGGGATACAGCCTGAAAGAGGGGCATAGAGTCTGAAAACACTAGCACATATTGAACTTATAGTCTTAGAAATCATTACCTTATTTTACTTCTGATTTTAATTATTAAATTAAAAATACTGAGGTCTGGTTGGCTCCATGCAAGCTCTGGTGTTATGTACTGGCACTTGAGTGTTATGATCACTTGAGAGGGGAAAACCTTGGTCCAGAAGATGGGAAGCTCAGCTGGAGTAACCGAAGCTTGCCTGGTGCATCAAGAATATATCAAGTGACACAGTATCTTAGTCACTCGTCAGTGTCAGGAGATACAGTCCGCGTGAGCTTAATTCAGAAGGAAAAAGAACAGTGGCTAACATCAGACTGCTTCTCATGTATCCTGACTATGGATGGAGATTATGGAGTTGGTAACCCATCTGAGGTCCAGCTAGTGAGAACAAGCAGTGTCACTGATAGGGATTAAGATCAATGCAAAGACTCAAAGGAGGCAGAAACCAAGACCAAACACAAAATAAACAAACAAACACAATGGGAGAGGAGACCATTCTGCATATGATTTTGGACTGAAACTCAGGCAAGCTCTATAAATATTTAAAGTTTATCTGTTTCCAAATGCTTCTGAAGATGGTCCTAGAGGAATCTGAGGAAGCAGGAGGATATTGTGGAAACCGAGCAGCCATGCTGACTCACTGTGTAGGACCACGGTTGGCCCAGGTGACAGAGACAGGTGTCAGTGTGGACAGTGAGATGCTCTGGAAGGCGGCTGCGAAGCCCAGTCAGATAATGGCTCTCTCCTGTCCCTAAATACAGAAATACACATCCCTGGCCTCACCCCAGAGACTGTGAGCTTAGCACATCTGGCATGGTGACCAGGAACTTGCAGTAAACAGTGCTGATGATGTAGCATGGGCTGCTTCATCTAGTACACACATGGCTCTTTAAATTGGAATTGACTGAAGTTAGAATTTAGGTGCTTGACTGTTCTAGTTTTCTTTCTGTTGCTGTGATCAAAAGCAACTTAGAGAGAAAAGGGTTTATTTTAGCTTACGGGCAAAGTCCGTGATCAAGGGAAGCTAACGCAGAAACTCAAGGCAGAGAACAAAGGAGGAACACTGCTTTCTGGCTTGTTACCTCTCTACCTTTCTTGTATAGCCTAGGCCCCCTATAGAGATGGCACCGCCCACAGTGGGCTGAACCCTCCTAGAGCAATTAACAATGAAGAAAATGCCATGCAGACATGGTTACAGAGCAATCCAATCTAGGCAATTCCTCAGTTAAGGTTCCCTGTTCCCAGGTGACTCAGTAGTATCAAGTTGGCAGCGGAAGCTGACGATGACATCTGTTTGTATTAGTTTTCTCATCACTACGACAAAATGCTTGACAGAGCTGCTTAAGGGGGATGACCTTTATTTGGTTCAGAATTGCAGAAGGTGGCACACGTAATGCTCAGGAAGCCATGGCATTGTGGTTAATACACAGGGATGGCGGTTCCGATCAGAAATGCCCCTTCAGGCTCCTATGTTCAAACGCCTTTACTCCAGATGGTAGCATTGTTTAGGGGGAACATAGAAACCAAGGGACAGTTATGACACTGGTCACTGGCCTTTGAAGTTTATAACCTGGCCCTGCTTCTGATTTCGTTCTACCCTCCGTCCTGATCTGTCAAAATGTGAACAAACCATGCCTGAAGCAACTCAGTGCATGTAATAATGGTTCAGAACCACGGACAACGGCACGCACAGGCGTTCCCTCCCCTCAAGGCTTTTTAGTCACAACCTAGTGCTGAAGTCTAAGCTGCTGAGGAAACAAAACAAGGCAAGCTACCCCCATTCCATGTGTGGCTAATGTAAGGGACTAAAGGCAGCAAGCTGTATCAACACGAGAGACTTTGACTGGAAACCTCACTCCGTAATCTCACTGCTCGATTGTATTGACTTTGGTCTCCACTTGAATCAGCTATTCGTGAAGAGAAGTAAGGGAATGGAACGTGGAGCTGCCATTTAGAGCGAGTCATTAAGAAATCCCACAAAAAAAAAAAAAAAAAAAAGAAATCCCACGTATGTTGGTGTAGGGCTCCGAGGTAGGAGGACCACATAGCGGGATCATCCATTGTACAGCTCAGCATCTTGATCTAAACGGGGTCCTGCAGAGCTGTGCAAATCCAGCATCCAGAAGCTTGGGGGATGTTCAGGGATCTGTAAACAGAATTCCACGTCACTGTCTGAAGTATGACAGTGTGTTATGTCAGTCTCTGGGTGACAGATTTCAGGTGTGTGCCGCTCTGCTGGGCACTCCTCCTGGACCCTCCTTCCCCTGTGAGAACTGCGGTTCCTACAGCTCGCAGTGTGGCTACTCATGGCATACGAGTTTCTCAAAGCACTGACTTTAAAGTTTTGAATTGTAACCTGCTGATCTAATAGAGAATGTAGGTGGTCAGATCATTTCCCAAATACATCTCATTTCCACAGGGTTCTGGATGTTTAAGCAGAACCGGTGAAGCCCAGTTTTAGAAGCACCCCTTCATGCAGAAGCAGAATGACAGTATTTGAAAACATTGTAACCTGTCTTATTCATAGCAGGCACTGCTGTGCTAAAGTTCTCGTATCCTACAAACTTTTTTTGCATGTGTATATGTATGTGGGTGCATGCTTGCATGTATACAAGTTTACATATATGTGGATGCACATGTATGTGTAGTGTATTTTTGTGTAGAGGACTGAGTCTTCCTCAGTTCTTTTCCTCATCATTGATTGAGGGAGAGAGAGAGTTTCTCTCTCTCTTTTATAACATAACTCTTTATTGAGTCTTTGAGAATTTCACAACACACACTTGAATCCTGCTCACCCCCCAGCCCCTCCATATCCACTCCTCATCCCTGCAACATCCCTCCCAAAAGGACCACCCCAAAATTAGTTAAAAAGAAAACAAATCAAACAAGAAACCCCCACTTCGCTCCTTGGTCTTTCCAACATACTTTTATCATCCTAGTGACCCTGGGAGCTGCGGTG